CATGCTTCAGTTTATGGTCATTGCCTCTTGTCCTGTCACTGGCCACCACTGAGAAGAATCCGTCCCCATGCTCTTGACACCTACAAGTTTTTTATCATGAGCAAACTTACCGAGGAGACGAGGTGCTGTCCCTTCATGCAGGTCCCTGATGAATCAATGGAACAGGGCCGAGGTCCGAGCCCTGGGCACACGCTGGCTGCAGACACTCCGCACCGGGATCGCAGCGTTGAGCTCTGACACGCGGCCGGTTTCAGTCGAGCCCAGTGCTGATCTTCTAAGCCGCCCTTGCTGAGCGCGTCTGCTGGGCTGGAGCGGGTGACAGGGTCGCAGGCTCCACGTGCCTGGAGATGACATCCATATTAGGCCACACATATTTATTTTTCCGAGCAGCACAGTCTCATGTGCTTTTAATCACTTGGTGTAAATGTTACCATTTTGATTTCATTTTCATTGTGCAGTTTTCACCAAGAATAGGAATTGTTCAGAACTTTGAATGTTTGTCTGAAACTCGTCTTAACTTCCTGCATGTGTATGTGTAGATTAGTTCTGGAAATCTGGTTAAACTGTTTATTTTTATTTTTATTTGTTTATTTTTGCATGTAAGATCTTCAGTGTGGCGTTTGAGATGATGCCAAGATAAAGGCAAAAACAAACCCAAATCCAGGTGATTATTTGAGGGTCTCTGGGCCTCAACTAGAATCAACTCCAAAGTTGCAAAGTTGCAAAGTTGTAAAAATATACTCATGTTTAGCAGATGGTTCTATCCTACTTGACTTGACAGTGGAGCATTTGGTAGAGTATGGACATAAGTCTGGCCTGGGTGCTGGCGACTACAAGCAATGCACATTATGCCTTGACCCTCCTCCCTTTCCTCTGACTATACCCAAGCCTCCAGTATGTATTTTGAGGCCCTGTGGCCTGAACACAGATGACTGATCACACTTGCAGTAAACTTTTAGTATGTCTTCACCTTGACAGTGAACCAGATATTGGAATTTAACCTGAAGCATTTTGCTTTCCCATAAAATAAAAATATTCTGTCCTAAATTACAACCTTTAAAAACATAAGCAAACAAACAAAAAGTCTAACTCTCTTTCTGCCTGGCTGTAATTCCATGTTTCCTCTCTCTAATTTCCCATGCACTGCCTCTTACCTTTGCTGGTCTCCCACGAAACGCTGGCAGGGTACCAGCAGGTCTGACAGCTTCTTCTGGGCTCTCTGCCATGCCAACATATCTCATGTTCCTGAGGGTTCCTGGGGGACTCGTGACGCACGATGCCTCCCCGGGCCGCGGTGGCCAGCAGGCTTTGGGGGCTGCCCTTGGCCCCACGTTTGGCCAGAAATGCTGGCCCAGGTCGAGGGGATGAAGAACGATGAGGAAATGTGGGCGAGGGATGGAAGAGCGGCACTGGAACCGAGCAGGCCTGGAGTGGGAGGAGAGGTCTAAAAACAGTGGCAGAGAAGAGATAGTAGGTGTTCCAGAAGTATCTGAGATTGAAGGGAAGATGCAAATACTCAGGATAAGACGTAAGGGATGATCTATGGGGGGAATGGAGACTGGGAACCGAACGGAAAGGGAGCGAAGGAAAAAAGATGAGTTAGGACAGGGAGAATGATGAGTGTGGGGCAGAGTGAGGGGGAAGAGGAAGCTTCTTTAGGATTTATTAAAATATGAATCATTGTAAGTCCACATTTAGCAGCAGTGGGATGTACTTCCCAGGCTTTCTGGAATAGCCTGTCCCTAGCTGTAGTCCATTGCTCTATGGGGTTACTGGTGCCAAGTGGCCAATCAGACAGCCCAGTGTTGACGCCTGCTTAGCTGGATAATTCAGAATCAAGGAAATTAATGTGAATTTTAATTTCAGCATTTCCAAAGTGGCAAAGACTTCAAAAGGTGTCATAGTGACTGTAAGTACAATTAAGACCTACTGGGAAATGTGAAAGGAATAGCAACAGTAACCTACAGCCAGCCAGTGTGTGTGAACCCTCAGAATTTCCAAGTGTGAAATTGTTGGATTTCAGTGCTGGTTTAATGGCAAATTTCAGTGTAGATTTAACATTCAGGAACACCTCCTTTGTTTAACCTTTGCATAACATACATTGCTAATAAATGCAATTATCACATGTATGTGTATTACTAATAGATGTAATCATAAAGTGTGTATATATATGCTAGATACATTCATGAAAATACATGTATATGCACACATACTAAAATGCACATGAACCTATATACGTTATATATATGAAATGCGAGGCTGTAGGAAGACTCAAGAATATTTTCTGTACTTGTCCCTGTTAGTGTAAAACAGCCCTGTGATTGTCCCTATTATGTTAATAATTCTTTAACTGACTAAATGTCATCCTTGCCTTCTTACACACTTTCCTTTTTCTCCCCCCAAAATCTTACGGTTTTAATTTTACAAAATGCAAAACCAGGGATGTTCTGAGTTAGAGTTGCCATACCTGACCTCAGTCTGAAAGTTCATTTTTTGATCAATGCAGGGATCAGGTGGCTTTAAAATAATTGGCATTGCTATGCTACCTTTTCTAGCTAGGACACAGGAAAGAGTGACTGCAGGTGCTCTGGTAACTTGAATTGGTTTTTTGCTTTTGTAAATTAACAAAAATATCTTACCAGTTAATGTAAAGCCTTTTATGTCCCCTCCAAAATTTCAGTCTTCAGTGGATTCACATCTGCAGTTTCATTTAATAGGAGCCAGATGTTGAAATCGAGGCAGTATTTATTAGGAAGTTTGCACTGGAGAGGGCCTGCTAGCACCAGTGTGCTCCACTGGATGCAGAACTTTCTAATCAGCAACCTTCAAACTTCATTTTGCAAGCAGGAAGATGTGGCCAAATGTATATAAAATGCCAAAGCTATGGCATTACACATCCCAAACGTTGTTAATGCTTTTAAAACTGCAGGTTCCTAGTGCACCAGTATGAATGACCACGCACACTGCCTCATCTCTGTGACAGGGAGAGGCCAAGAAATAAGACAACAGACAGCAGAGAGTGGAACCCAAAGTTAAACAAGCCTAAAATCAGCAGTGGTGGTGAAAGAGAAGGTGGGAGCTGGAGCTGCTCGGGAGCAGCCGTCGGTGGCGCCCGGCATCCTGGCTCAGCCACGAGGCAGGAGGACTTGGGATCTGCTGCTCCTCCAGGGATGGCATTGAGAAGAGAAGGCTGAGAGGGGATCTGATTAACGTGGATAAGTTCATGAAGGGGGAATGTAGGGAGGAAGCGGACAAGCTCTTTTCAGTGGTGTCCAGTGACAGGACAAGGGGCAATGGGTACAAGTAGAAACACAGGCAGTTCCTTCTCCATGTGAGGAGGAACTTCTTACTGTGAGGGTGACAGAGCCCTGGCACAGGCTGCCCAGGGAGGCTCTGGAGTCTCCTTCTCTGGAGGTCTTCCAATCCCGCCTGGATGCTGCCCTGTGCCCCGTGCTCTGGGTGTCCCTGCTGGAGCAGGGGGCTTGGACTAGATGATCTCTAGAGGTCCCTTCCCACCTTAAACATTCTGTGATTCTGTGGCAGCATCTTCCCATGCTCTCTCCATGCTTAGCCATGCCAGACATGGTTAAGATGTGTCTGATGTGATTAAAATCCTGAAGTAGATACATGGTGGCTTTTCTGATCACTGTTAGGATAGAGGTCTGAGTACCTTCTCTGGGAGGTATAAAGTGTAGAAGAAAGAATATATGATATAGAAGAGAAAAAGATTTATTCACTGTATATTTTGCTTTGACTCTTTTTTTTTTTTTTTTGGTACAAAATCATTATTCACTAAAGGGAGAGGCATCACCAGTCTTTCGCCCTCATGAGCTGGAACATTTTGCTCTTGCAGCATAATCAGATTTTCCAAGCAAAACTCCTGGTTATTTCAGTCACATTTATGCAGCTGTATGAGGCCTTGGCAAAATGCAAGCACTGCAGAGCATGGTAACATTTCAAATATAAAAATTAAATCAATAATGTAGACTTAAATTTTAAAGGCCAAATTAAAAAAATTATATTGTGCCTACAAGATATGCATGCAGGTACCTGATTGGATTTTGTATGTATTAAGCAAACAGTCTACAAATGTGGAGAGAGCACCTCCACACAGTGATATTCAGAATCTAAATGGGTAATATTTGGCATCCTTTCATTTCCTGGCAACTTTTGCTTTGCATTTTGCAAGTGCAAAGGTTTAAGTTTAAGATCAAATCTTTATAAAGAACTGAGAATGAGTTGGAAACACAAAATAAAAGACTTCTAGAAAGTCTGTGTAGGAGATGTTATATTCCAGTATACTTCATTCTTCTGATGTTGTTTGGGTCTCAGTGTTAAAATAATTCAATAACTAAAACTGAATGGCATTGCATGTTTTGTAATAAGGCACAACTGTCGCTTCAGAGCAATGGGGTGAATGTTGCAGAGGCTTTGGTGGGAGTTTGGCTCAGTTAAAGGACAGAGACACAGAATTTCTCTGCGCATCATCCGTTTCATGTTGGTTTTCCTGTCTGTCCATCACTTGTTGTTCTTAGTGTCGGGAATAGTATGTTTGTGCTGCAAAATCCAACTATGAGTCAGTAAGCTATAAATTCATGAGCTACCCTGTATTTCTTTCACTGATTTCCCCAGGTTTTCCCTCTTCTCACCTGTAAAATGGAGGAGAGCTACTTATACCTGGGAAGTTGCATAATTTTATTTTACCTATTGCTAATCACTGCAGTGTGTCTATGAATGTTTGTAAAGCTCTTTGAAGATGAAAATTGCCAAAGAAGTGCTAGGGATGATTATTATAAGTTAATGAATAAATTTCAGCATGCATTTGATTGCCAGGTAATTCAGAGGGGAATCACCAACCCTTCCCTCTTTTCGAGGAAGAGAAGTTGACAGTCAGCTAGTTGCTAATTAGCACTCAGCTGAAATGCCTCCAAAGCTGAGTGCTCCCAGTTGAATCCTTTAAAAAGTAAGCTTTCAACTAATTGAAATATGCTGCAAGTTGAGCAGTGGGTGAGGTCTGTAACAGGTAAATTGGTACTGTGGAGTCTAAAGAGTAGAAAGAATGTTAAGGTTTTTCAGGAAGAGACAAGAAGTTTTGGGAAACCCTAGCCAAGGTAAGCGCCTCTCTTCCACAGCTGTACACCCCTTCCCTGTCTCTGACCTACTTTGTAAGCCGCTTCTCCTGTGAGAGCGAGTTAGGGAAGAGGAATTGCTTGAGACCTGTGTGTCAGTGTGGTTTTCCTTGTTTTTTTAGAAGCATATATTGAGATGTGGGTTGTAGGGACTCTTATTCAAGGCTGGGATAGGCTTATGTAATTTGGCAAACATGCTTTGCTTTAAGATTTACAAAGCTTATGGTAGATTCTAGTTAGTCTTACGTTAGAGCTCAGTGACAGTGTTACCTGCATTGGACTCTTGTTTAGATTTTAAGGCAAAATAATGGTATCAGAAAGAGGCTTGGAGTCTTACGGCGCTTGCCTGTGTGCTGGCCTGATTTTGAGCTGGTGAGTCAGTCTCCCAGGCTATACTCTATCCCTGCAGCCTCTTCCTACCACCTTTTTGTTGTTTTTATTTTTTTGATTATCTGCCAGGTACATCCAATAAATAACAGAATTGTCTTCCCTGCTGCTGAAGGCTGTATTCTTCTTTGGGCTCTGGGAGGCCTCTGCGAGAGGTAAATGACAAATTTCATCCTTTCTTTTCCCTGTGTGACCACTCTGAATTCACCATTCTCAAGATCAGCTCTCCAGGCTTACCCTATGGAGGACTCACTTAACTAAACTTGTTAAGTGGCTTGGGAGAAGAAACTTGGTTGCTTGAGAGAGCATTTCTCAGCATCAGCCTCCTGTGCTCACCCACCCGAAACGCCAGCCATGTGTGTGGTGGCAGGAGAAGAAACACAGCATGGAGTGAGAAAGTGTGGAAGAAGTTATAGAAAAAGAACTTGGGAGAAAGAACTCTGGCAAGGGACAATGGGCAGATAGGGAGGATACGAAGGAAAGAGAAAAATTAGCACTAAGGGAGAGGAATTAGCACTAAGATGAGGGAAAAATGGAGCAAGGAAGCAGAAGCTGTTGGAGAAGCTTCCTGAAGCTGTTGTGTTCTGGAAAGTGGCTTTCATGGCATCCTCAGAACTGCTGTAAAACCAAAGTATATGACCTCTCTCTGGCTGTTTGTTAGTCTAGGAGATCAGATCCTGACAGTGGGCAAATGTTCACTGGTATCCTGAAACTATTGCATTCCGTAGGGAAGCCCCTTTGGATGTCAAGGGCTGAGCAGTTACCTTTGGGACCTCACTCTCCTTTCCCTGAGCCTCATGGAGTTCCTTCCCTTGACAGGTTCAGCTTTGCTGTGGTAATGTTGTACTGGGTACCAGCAGCGCCCGGGTGTGATGGAGGGTACAGGCGGGCATCCCAAATCTACCGTCCCCGAGACCGGAGCTGTGCAGTGCGGTCTGCCCTGCCGGCAGCACGGCGAGGAGCTGCCTGAAGCCTCCGGAGCCTGAAGAGCAGGTCTGTCCCCTGCGAGCTGCAGAGCTCTGAGAGCTGCACAGCTCCAAGAGCCTCCCTGTATGAGGTGCATGGGGAAGACACTTAACTGCTGAGCAGGGGAGTTTCCAGAGGTTGGCTGGAGAGAGCGCGGCTTGATGTCTGCTGCATCTTGGTATGTGGAGAGGGCTCCTGCCTCTAACTGCGAGATGGGATTTGCTCCCCTTAAAGCTGGTCTTCTGCTCTCCTCCCTAGCCCTACCTGCCATAGGTTGCTCTACATGAGCTGTACAAGTGAGGCTGCTTGCTCAGGGACTGGCCAGCTCCTCGAGGGTTGCATTCCCTTGGGCATTCATAAAGTTCCTAGACAAAATGGAACATCATTTTTGATTATGGACAAAGACCTTGTATACGCTGGGGAGCTTAAAAAGATTTTTAAAATCTCTTCTATGTTGTCTGTTCAGAGGCACTTCTAGCAACACTGATGTGTGCTTAGAGCTCCAACTCTCGAAAAAATCACATGTATTGTCATGAAATAGGTGAAAAGAATCCTTAGATTTGTCCTGTGTAGGGAATTATCGTATGTGTAATTTATGTAAGGCAGGTTTGAGTTTGCAAAAAGTCTGGAACATTTGAAAACGTGCGAATCGTTCTCACTGCTCTGTAAGCCGTGAAACACATTACTTCTGGTGTGCCCTGCTTAGGCACTTTCGGAAAACCTTTCTGCTAAAAATAATTGTGTCATTTATTAATGACGGAAGAGAACATTAATCATGACCAAAAAAAAAGTAAGCAGTCTACATGAAGAAAAAAAAATCTGGAAGCATATAGTAAGCCACACAAATATTTTTAACAATATATTCAATGAAATTATTTACTTTTTTATGTACAACTTGTCTGTGAACAGGCAGTGTTTTTTTCTGAATATTTTCTTTTTAAGTCTCAATATATTAACATATAGTGGAAAAAAATCACAGTTTCTGGATTTCTTATAAACTGTGAGTGTGCAATATGTTGTAGTCTATATCTATAGAAATTAATGGCAGTACTCAGTCCTGAAATTATTCAAAATTCTAAGTCTGACCTCTATGATTGGGCCTTTATTATATGTGATGGGGTGGCATTGATATTTTTCACTGATTATCCCAACTTTTCATAATCAAATTTAATTTAGATACAAAACCCAACATTGTGTATGAACATTCAAGGCCAGTTTTGTTTTTTACCTAAGGTTCACTTGACTTATGAAAATATTTAATGCTATATGGCTTTTTACTGAGAAACCAAAGGGTTTTGTTTAACTAAAGGACAGTATAAGTAGGTGGTTCTGGCTAATGCCGTACAGAAATTCATGGCTGCTTGAGTGGTGTCAAGAAATCTCATTTCCTCTAGTTATTAGCTCTTCACTTGCTGTGTACCTTTAAGCAACATCAGCCTCTTCCTTCCCTGCTTTTTCAAGAGCTCCAAAGCACCTTAAATGCATCCACACAGACCTGGCTTACTGACACAGACCCGACAGTCAAGGCACACCAGGCACAAACACTGCAATTATACCTATTCACAGCTGTATCTCTTTTCATTAGTATTATTAAGTACTTATTAAAAACAATGCTGCATAGTCAGCTCTGCAAAGCATGGGCTGTGTCTCTGGCATAGGCAGCGTTTTCTGTGCAGCTCTCTGTCACCCAGCCGGTGTGCTGAGGTGTCACCATGCTGGTGTGCTGAGGTGTCACCGTGCTGAGGTGTCACCCAGCCGGTGTGCTGAGATGGAGCGTGGAGGCTGCTGTGGTCTCGTGCAGCTCCCCACACTCTTGTCACAGCAGTGGCAGCACCAGAGCACCTGTGAGAAGGTGAAGGGCAGGGAGGGATGAACGAGCCAGCCCTTCTCGCCCGCTGCCCCATCCTGCTTGTGTCCTGAAGAAACAAGGACTGTCGCCGTGGTCTGGGTGGCTTGGGCAATCTCTCTGTGGCAGCACATCTTGGCAGCACTGCAGCTTTCACACGGGTGGTATGAGGGGATGGGATGTGTGCGATTCTCCTGCAAAAAAAAAAAAAAAAAAAAAAAATCCATGCCTCTCTCTGAAGTGAAGGGAAATGTTCATGAGGAGCTGTCAGGGAGACGTCCGTGACTTACACGGATCCTTCTGTGTGTGCCCAGGAGAGGGCAATATGGCACACAGGCTGCAGCCAGCTCCTAGCACCATGTCTCCTTGGGGTGTCCGCAGCCTGTGTGGTTAGTGCCTGTCCAAAGAGACCCGAACTGTGTCTGTGCCTCTGCCCGGCACATCTGGGGCCTCCCTGCTCCTTCCCACCTGCGTTCCCACCACAGGAATCGTGCCCATTTCCCCATGCCTCTCCACTCCATCGTGCTGCCTCCTTTGTGGAGGGGCTGCAGCACCAGGGTGGCTGGGGTGAGCTGGGTTGAGGTTTCAGGATCTGCCGTGTGGGACATGCAGCTACTCGTGTGCACCTGTGCATTGGGGGAAGGAAACCCGCACACCCCATGTGTTCACAGCCACACACCGCAGCCATGTTCTCCTCCACGTGTGGGAGCGCGCGCCATCCTCTCCCTCTTGCTTTCCTGCCTCTCTCTCCTTCTGCTCTCCCTAAACCCATCTGCCGGATTAAGGAATTTATGGGTCGCCCTAACCCCGGGGCCAGCTGCTTGTGGTTGAGTGCGGCTGTGCTGTGCCTGAGGGCCGTCCCAGCGCGGGCCGCAGCCGCGTGCTCCCTCAACGGCGGCGCGTCCCCCCCCAACAGTGGCATGTGCCCCACAGCAGTGGCGTGTGCCCCACAGCAGTGGCGCGCGTGGAGCCGCCGCCTCACGAGCGAGCGGCGGCACCGCGGGCGGGAAGTGCCGCGGGCGGGCAGGAAGATGGCGGCGCTGCCGCCCACCCTGCGGCTTCGGGGGACAGTGGCCACGGGAGGCCCTCGGCCCTCGCCGCGCTCCCCAGCAGTCGCAGTGGAAAACCGTGCGTTGTAATGTCAAGTTTAGCTTCTTAAAGCAGCGAATTTTAGCCTCGTCAGAAAGGCCCTGGAAAAGATACAGTTTTCCAATGGTGTAAAATTCCACCATTTTAATTACAAAAAGGAGCATATTCTTTATTGGATAAAAGTACTTTACTTGGGTTTTCTTGGCAAACAAAAGAAAATCTTCAGTTTGGTGGGTTGTTCCTTGTTTTGCTTGCCTTCTCTAAAGTAGGTTGTAATTCAGTCAAACGTGTGAAAATGTGTTGTAGTTGCAGTTTTCCTGGTCCTTTTGGCCTTAGGCCTTGGGGAGGCCTTGAGACACAAGGCAGGTGGACCTAGCAAGGCCCACGCTTAGGTGCGTGTTGGTGTTACAGGCTTCTCACACGGACCCTTGGCAGGGCACTGTCACGGTCACTGCAGCACGAGCACTACTGAACCATGTGCTGGGCATGTTATTTATTGAACCCAGCATATATGAAGCGTATAGCAATGCTGCAGAGCTAGGAAACCTGAAAAGAGAAGTAAAATGGCCCGTGTGCTATCTGCTGTGGGCTCTATGTTCAGGAACAGGAGCTGAAGGAAGGAAAAATGGAGATAGTTTTTGATAAACAGTGACACCAAGTAGGAAATTTTCACATTTATGTTGCAATATTCCTACATTCACTTATATCTGAATTAATTTTTTTTGATAGTGGATGAAGCTATATAGTGCTCAAATATTCTCCAGGATTATTGCATAAAATTAGAAGATGAAATGCTTTGTGCCTTGATTTCCCCATCTGCGCAATGGGCAGCCCTGCAGGCTTTGTGTAAGGCACTCTGGCTGCAAACTGCTGTGAAAGCTGCCGAAAACAGTGCGATTGTTATTCTCTTAATCATATTAGTTAACTAAATCTATTCCTAGAGTGGTTCCATTTGCTTGAATGAATTTACATGAGAGATTAATTCAGCACTGTTTGTTGTTGTTTTTACATTTGTTCAGCACTCTAAATAATGCCTGGCACATTCCAGTTGTGTGGAAAGACGCGGTCTTTGCTTCAAAGGCTCTTTCCGCAGGTAATTCGAGGGCTCCCCTTCCCAAACCTTGTGCTCTCCCATGCCGCAGATGAGCCCATTTCGTTTTCTCTATATTTTAGGCACTTTATTTATTTATCTGTGCACGTGCTGGTGGTTTCCAGAACTTTCTTGGAAGTGCAATTCAATAAAGCTCATCCCTCAGGTTTGGTTCCCTCTCCCCATCCCCAAACTGAACTCTCCCTCCCACCCACCCCCATCCACCTCCTTCAGTTTGGGATCTCTTTCATTCCTCATGTATTCCAACTGCTCCAAGATTGCTGCTCTTGAATGATCCTGAAAATAGGGAGCAGCTTCCTACCTGGCTACCCCTATCCTTCAGCCAGGGAGCCGCTCTTAACATTATTCATGTGTCTATTTAGCATCAGCACCTACCAGACATTTTGGCAGTTGTCTGGGGTAGTTTGGCCACCCCGTTCTTTGTGTTCAATATTTTCCTGGGCGGTTTATGTTATTAGCATTTGACTGTTCTCCATTGTGTGAAGTAAGGTGCCGAGATTATTTCTTTGTGCAAATTCCCAATCCCCGGCGATTTTGGTCTCTGCTGAAACAGGGAGCCCAACCTCCCTGTAGCCTCTAACTGTTGATTTGAAATGTAAGGAAAAAAAGAAAGAAAACAGAAAAAAGAAAGCCCCCCAAACAGAGGCAGATGTACAGAAGTGCCCAGGGCTCTCGAAGGCACTGTGGATAAACACAAGCACTTGGAGCTGCCCGATGTTCCGCTGAAAGCAGCCGCCCGAGCGAGGTGAATCACGGGCTCCACAGGCAGCGCGCTGCCCTGGCCTCTGCGTGTGGATTTGGTAGTAATCACAGCTGTGCTCGTACCCAGGCGTGCTCTCCTTAGAGCATGATTGGCTCAGGCAGCTTTTAAACCACCTATATGCTAACAAGCCTTGCTGCCAGGTTCCTAAGGGGTCCTGGCTGGGAAAAATTAAAACCAAACCTTAGACCCCTGTCAGGCTGGGAGGAAAATTATATTTTTGAACTAGGCTCCAGTGTGGACAGGAAATGACCCCTTCAGAAACTGCTTCTTTAAAAGCGAGCGGCGGTGCCTGAAGCTCTCCAGCGCCTGCCTCTCCCTCGCGGAGCCGCGCGCTGCTCTGTGCTGCTCTGCTCTGCTCTGCGCCGCGCGGCTCTGCGCCGCTGCCTCCCTCTCTCCCTGCCTCCCATGCTCGCTCCCTCCTTCCCCCCCTTCCCCGGCTCCTGCTATAGAGGGCTCCCACAGCACTTCCCAGCCAGTGTGCTCAGCCTGTATGTGTGTGTGTGTGCGTGCGGCGACTTTGCACTGTGAGCAACACACAGCCCATGTGCTCTGTATGGATGTTGGTGATACTCTGTGTAGCTTGATCCTCTGCACGCAGGCAAGATGTCCAGCACACCACATGACCCCTTCTATTCTTCTCCTTTTGGCCCATTCTATAGGAGACACACACCATACATGGTGCAACCAGAGTACCGAATATATGAGATGAACAAGAGGCTGCAGTCGCGTACAGAGGTAAGTCCCTCAGCCTTGTTTTACTGTGCATGGACTGTGCGAGGTTTCAGCCTGGATGCTGTCTGAAGCGTCCCATTAGGCAGTACAGTGTATGCAGGCATGAACCCTAATTAATTTAGGACTTTAATTGGGTAATCCCTCATTATGTTTCCATGCAGA